ATGGTTGGAATCTCTTCCCGCCATTTACTGTCATATGGATTTGGGCAATCTGGCGACCCGCTTGCCCCCAGGCTTGCCGCTGTAGCCCAGGATGATCTGCCTGCATCGAGGGACTCCTCCCGAGGCTTAGCTGAGGTCACAGAACAGCTGGCCTCAGCTAAAGCTGCATTCTCAAGCGTGGCTACAGCAGACTCTTGCAGTCTCAACCCCTACTGCCTATGCTGCCCAGGACCCAGTGAGTAACCAGCTTCTCAGGGCCTGATAGGAGTCCCAGGAAAACAAGGGGACAACCGGGGTGGGGCCTGGCTTCTTGCAGCCACGAATGTGGGCACCACAGCCATTCCATTCCTTTGAGACATATAAGAGGCACAGCATCCTCTCAGAAGACCAGCTGCCAGAGCGAGGTGGAGATTGTGCCCATCTGTCCAGTGCCCCCAGCTGGTCTGAACCAGGGTGAGGACGAGATCCTGGAAGGCCACAGCCAGGAGTGCGGCACCCACAGAGTTCCCAGGCCGAGGGTGCTGCGTCCTCCCAGAACAGGCCTCTGTTGCTCCGATTGACTGCACAAGTTGTGGCACGTCACCCCCACAGAGCCCGCCAGCACCCTGCTGTGGGACGAGTGCTCCCTTCACCCCACGAGGCAAACATCCAGGACCACATTGTCCCGTCTGTGTGGCTGCCTGGAGCCAACCTAAGTCTTCATTTCTTTTTGCTTCCAAGCATAACACAAAGGGAAAGAAAAGGTCTTCCATGTGCTAGGACTACCAAAACCACACAAGGGATTATTCGATCCTCCACACCAAGACACAATAAAGGACCGCTGTGGCTTTGGGTTTTGTGTTTATTCCTGTCCTGTTTTCCCGACTGTTGCTTCCAGGACCTAGAGTTCTGGGTCCAGTCTGCACTGTTCAGGCACATGGCCTGGAACAAAGAATCTCTGGCCTGGTTTTCTCACCTGTAAAACAGGAGAAATAATCCCTACCTCATCTGTTACAAAATCAAAAGGGCTTAATTTTTCTAGCTTTCCAAGCAATCATGATTTAATCTTCACAGTCTCAGTTGACACAAGCAGAACCTAAGGCAGAGAGAGGTCACAGAAATAGAGGCAGAGCTGGGCAAAGTGGCCCTGGTCACCAGGTGTGACACCCTTGGACGACAAGCACCGCTGAAATGCATGAGACCCTTTGTTCCTTCCATCGTCTAAAATACCCTCTGCAATCTTGTTTTCACCCTTCACTTATTTACATATGTTTCATTTTTTAACATAGATAAGTCAAGGTTAAACTCCAACCCAACTCCTTTCCAAGCGAGGGAGGGTCCCGAGTCAGCCCACACGAATCAGGCGTCCCTATTTGTTTTACCCTGTTCTGCTTGTTTTTCTGTGTCCCCGAATAGCACAAGAATGTTCACACAGATCGATTGGTAACAAGACAGAGCCTGGGTCATTTCCCTGGGGAAGGCTGGCCCCAGGAAAAAGTGGAAGAGACAGACTCTTTCCTGTCACAAGCCTGCAAACTTTGTAAATTTCATCTTGGTCGTGGAATTGGTGAGGAGTAAAAGGGTCCCATTCTGTGCCAGGGAGAGCCAGCCTGGGGAGCATCAGGCTCGGTGCTATTAGAACTGGGCTGCACTTTGGTGCCCCAGTGTCCCCAGTCTTTTGGCCCTTTTCTGGTGAGACACAGATTTTTTTTCCTGTTAAGACATGGCTCTGGACCTGCATATTTCAGTGGAAAAATCAGAGAAATGGCAGTGACAGTGCAAGCACCGCAGCCTGGTTCTTCCTCCTTTTAGAGCGGCGGCGGACCCAGCACTGTCAGTCGAGAGAAAGAGAAGTCCACTAGAGAATGCAAGTGCCTCTCGCCTTGTCCCTGGCGTTGGCCCTCTGTGCCCCTACAAAGCATTTGCGTCTGTCTTCCAGTTCACTCCCTCACCACTGTGACACTGAAGGTCACCTGGGTCACTCTGAAGGTCATCCAGGTCTCTCTACAGGTCATCATGGCCATTTGGTGCCAGTCTCCTGAAATCTCTATTTTCTTGAGCAGCTCTTCAAATTAAAAGAGAGTAAGCATGGGGCAACTCTTGAGAATCTAATTATAAAGCCAGTATTATTTAAGTCTGAGGATTACGAACCTGAGTGCAGCATTAGCCAGACGAAAGTCTTCAAGGATTTGCACAGGGAGAAGCCACCGGGCTGTGCAGGGACGGGGCTGGACCCACTGCAGGCTCCAGCCTCTGAGGGGCTCGGGGCCCCGCTCTGAATCCCTGGAAACTGCACAAACCTCAAAGCCCCTGCGCTTCTTTGGAAGTAGAAATGACAAGGACCGTGGCAGTGCCTCTACTGGCTGTTTCGGATGCACTGAAGAAGAAAAAACATCGCTATGGTGTCTTGAAGGCCTCCAACCCTCTGCAGCAGGGACATCACCTCTTCGACAAAAGCATCTTTATTAACTCACAAATTTTCAGCACGCCACCCCGCCCCACGTAGGAGGAGTTATTTGCTTATAAATAGTAGAGCACTGATATAGTACAAGCGTGTATATGCAGACATAAACTTTCTAAGTGTGATAAAAGAAAAATCGGAAGCCTCTTACACTCCTCACACACCCCAGGTGGTCTCTGCGTGGCAATCGACCTCAAGGCTCGAGGGACAGGAGGAACCTGGGAGCAGGTTGAACATGAGCCCGCTGGGCTAGGATAGAGCTCGGTGGCACAAGCATCTACTGCACTCACAAGGTCCTGAGGCCGAGTCCCAGAACCAAAGCAAATAAAACCGAATGGATGTTCTCCACACTCCAGCCCCAAGGTCTACATTCCTCTTAAACTGATCTCTCAAATTATGGTCTCAGGCAAGTGGAGTGCAAATTGTTGTTGGCTTGTCTTTTTGAGCCAGTTCTCGCTATGCAGCTCAGGCTGGCCTCAAGCTCACTTTGTAGCCCAGGCTGGCGCTGAGCTCTCAGTGATCCTCCTGCCATCACCCCCACTGCTGGGATTACAGGTGTGCACCACCATGCCCAGCTTTCGCCCCAATTTAGTAGGCAAGGAAATGGGACTCACCAAGACATGGATGTCCCAGAAAGCTAACAGATGCAGACCCAGGACCTCAGGCTCCGGAAACCCCTCCTCCTCTCCCAAGAGGCCATGGCCCTCTCCCTCCCAGCAGCCTCCAGAGCCAGCTTTGGGGAGCTGCAGAGCTTATGCCTCAAAACCACAGGAAGGCAGGACCGCGATGGACCCGTGGGAACTGGGGGAGAGGCGGAAAGGGTAGGTCTAAGTGGGCGCAGAAGCCCTTCCTCTAGAGCAGTCAGAGAGGACCTTGGGTGGGAATTCCAAGAACTAGAACAGTGCTGAAGTAATCAGGGAAGGCTGCGGTGCCCCTGGTATCTGCAGCCGCTTGGATGTGTGGGCATCTTCAGCAGACTCACCTACAAATCAAGGCAGGGCTCAGGGTGGTTCTGGCAGTGCCCAGCACAGAAGTGACAAGAGTAGGTAGACACGCGGGCAAGGCAATCACTGGTTTTGGGACGCAGCTTTTAAGGGATAGAAGGAACATGGAGCTTGCAGTGCTGCCCTTGTCTGTGCAGGGCAGGAGGAGCCAGCTAGGTGTCGGGCAGAAATCTCCATCAGAAGCCATGTGCTTGTCACGTGGTCCCCAAGTGGCAGCCCTTGGGAAGGAGGCAGAGGCCTGGGGCAGCACGCAGCAAGGGTCTGGCTCGGGGTCACGACCACTGGAGCTTTTCAGTCCTTCGTGTCCAGGCTCCAGGCGGGAGTCTCTGGGGCATCTCCCCACCCACTGGCACTCACAGTCTAAGAGCCCCCTGGGGCTGCACGGGCCAGAGCCGCTCCCTCATAGCGCCCTGCCTCGGCGGGTGGGAGCCTTTGCTCTGCTTGCGCCAGTCGGAACCCTGTAGCCCTCCTAATGTTCCTCTTCCCACCCCCCAGATCCCAGCAGTCAGAAAATCCTCTCAGCTCCACTTTTAAAATATGTCCCGCACCCATCAGACCCCACACCGTCCTGCTGGGCCACGCTGCCCTCACCTGTCCCCTCACCCTTGCTCACTGGCACATCAGTGATCCCTTAGAAGCTTGGCCCATAGCACCACATGATCCTCTCAGGATGACTTCCGAGGCTCCCAGGGCAGGAGCTGAAGGCCAGCGATGGTGTCCCTGAAAGGCGAAGACAAGTGACGATGGTGCCCCGTTTCTCTGGCTCCCCTGGTACCCTGGGAACACACAAGGCATGCACCGGCTTCAGGGCCTTGGCCCAGATGACCTGATGCTCCCAGCTGTCCCCAGGGGCTGCTCCCTCACCTCCATCAAAGCTCCGTTCCAAGACCAACCTCCCCTCAAGACTCCCTCCAGCCATTCCGTTTTAAACCGCCACTACCGCCCGCCTTCATCTCACTAAGCCACGCTTCTGCCCTCGCCCTCAGTGCATTGCCCAATCTACACAAACCTCTGCTGTTTCTGCTGTCACCAACTGCTCCTCCCACCCCTATAAGGACTCTGACCTTTGTGTGTTATGTCCACTTGCGTATCGCAGGTGCCTAGCACAGGATCTGGTCCAGGCATGCAGCAGGAAGTGTGTGTGTGTGTGTGTGTGTGTGTGTGTGTGCACCTGTGCAAAAAAATTTAAACTCAAGTCACTCTAAGATGCAGGTGGAGCACAGGAGCAGCCTCGCCACTGAGCCTTTGCCCAGCCAGTCCTCCAGGGGCTCAGCATGGGCGTCTGAGCACCTCTCGCGGCTCCTCCTCACCCTGAGAGGCAGGGATTTCCGCTCCCGTCAGCCCTAGGAATGGTCCCCACTGTACTGCGAATACCCCCAGGGTCAGCGGTTTTACTGGACCTGCAGGGCCCAGCACAGCAGCGCAGCGTGTCACTCTGGGGCTTGGGCACTGGTGCAGTCCTCGTCCCTTTGCTCTGCTGTCGGAGGAGACTTGGGCAATGCCACCTACCCTGACCTTTGACAGAATTTCCAAATAGGACACGTTAATCTCAAATGGATTCACATGGAACTATGGCCAGGGCCCAAGAAGGTGAGAATGGACAAGACACTTGATTTTCAAAGCATATCAGGATAAAATGTACTTCCATAGATGCATCCTTTCAGGGTGAGACAGGGTCAAGTGTGGGGCTGGGGGCAGTGAGGCAAGGGTCCGGGGACTGGAGGACAGGTGAGGAGGTTAATGATTAATGGGCAGACTTCCCTCACCAAGTACCAACCTGCATGCTGGTCTCTCTAGCTCCAGCAACTGGAAAGAAGACCTCGGACCCGAGAGAGGCAGGAAGAATGGGCAGCGCCCGGTGCGGTGCTATTTTCTTGGTTCTCTGCATCTTCGCCCAGCCCTGTGCCCATGGACAAAGCCTGGATCCAGGTAAGAGCCTGTCTTTGCTCTAGAGGCAGGTGTGGATTTTGCTTTCGTAAGTTCGTGGGGCAGACTCACCGTGTGAGACGGCGCTGGCCTGCGAGCCCACCAGAGGCTCTGTGAGCAGCGTGGCAGATTAATGGGGACAGGAAGCGCTTTGCAGACAGGACTGAGATCTTAGGAAACCACTGTGGGAGAAGTGCGAGAGCCCACAGCTCCTGGCGCAACCTCTTGGGGCGGTGATTGGGAGGCAGAGGAGCTAAGACGTCAGCAGAGAATGAACGACTTGGGGAATTCCTGAGCGTTAATTTGCAATCAGGGAGCAGAGCACTGGACAGAAGGCTGCTCTTGCTGGGGCTGGGGCACTGCCTGGCTGTCTTTGAAGAGAGGAATTTGAGTGCTGCTCGTCTCATTGGGTCTGAGGTAAAGACCTCCTCGGGTATTTTCTGGTCCTTATTTTTCTGCCAAAGTTTTCCGTAAGAACTGAGCAGCAGTCTCTCTCCTGCTCTGTCTGCAACTTCATAAACTAGACTGTTGGCCAAAGACAGTTCCTAATGCCCCTTCAGGTAGGTGGGCATCAGGTTCTCAGAGGAAGAAGGTGTTCAGTCAATAAATGATGGCCGCATTAGCCAAGCCGCCAGCTGAGAAGCCCAGCTGGGTATCTGGGCCTTTATTTTTCATCACGAGCGAGGAACACTGTGGCACTGGTACTGGTTTCTCAGAGACTGTGCCTGAAGCGAGTTCCAAAAGCTTTGAGAATTGGGACACAGCAGGGCACGTGCCTGAACATTCTAGACCCTCTCCCCTTGAACAAAAAGCTCTGCTCCTTGGTGTCTGCTTGGGGCTGATATCCTGTGTCGCAGTCCTTGGGCCCATGGTGTTGTGTTTGTTTGGTGCCTCGTTACTGAAGCATAAGCTCATTCCGAAGGCACACTGTAGGTTCCCGGCCACAGAACCTGGGCCAACTTCCCGAGCCTCCCTGCACCCTTGAGGTAGGACCTGAAATGCGTCGCCAGTTGGGGACTTTGCGTGGGTGGAAACGCAGCAGCTGCGCCCTGGGCCTCTCTCCTCCTGCATGGCACCTACACGCCGCCTCCTGCCCCTTTCCTGCGGCTGAGGCTCAGTCATCCTCGTCACCCCAGCAGACCGCATCTGAACATAGCACACTTCCTTGTGTCTTGGTGTTGGAAGCTGGGGGGGGGTGCAGCCTCCTTCGCGGCTCTGGGTGTCACCCAGGTTTTTCTCAAAACTGTTGCTGCTACTTTTCTGTGTCCTGGTTGACCCAAGCGATGAAGCACGAGGCAACGATAAGCCAGAGAGCCTGCAGGAGGGAGGCTTGGGGTACGGAGGCCTCTGGCTTCCCTGCAAGGCGCATCCCGGGCCTCTGTGATGGCTGATGTCTTCCTGGGGTGTCGGCGCCCCATGAGGGAGCCCTTGTCCGCGGTTTCTGTACCAGGTGCTGTCGGGGGGACAGTCTGCAGTATCTGGAGAAATTTTAGGCATCACAAGCAGGGACAGAGTCCAGGGGCACTGCCAAACGTGCTGTTGTCATGCAGTGAGTGACCTTCACCCAGCAAACCATCACCCCAAGACACTGAGGCTGGGGAGCTTCGGCCCCCGTTGAGCTCCGGGATCCCTCAGGGACCCTTCTTCCTCAGCCTGCCTCTGGCCCTTTCCTACCGGCTCCCCCAAGGCACCTGCACCCAGATGGGCCAGGCCAGACGCAGAGTCACCCTCACCCTCCTGACTCACCAGCAGCTCCATGTCCTGCCCAGGTCCCGGGGCTGCTGGGGCCCAGCCTGGCTGTGCGTGGGCCGGACCCTGGCAGCCTCCACCCCACACTCCCTCAGGTCTGCCCTGCCGTCCACTCTGGCCTGGTGCCACAGCCCAGAGATAGCGTGGGCCCACTGCCCAGGGAAGCGCCATGACCCCAGAAACGGGCTGGAGTTCAAGCGCTGGCACAGGCGTGGCCCTGCTTGCGTCTCTGCAGAGTCCTGAGGCCCCAAACAAAACAGAAACTGTGAAAGCCAGGAAGCTAGCTTGGTGACGTAAGCGCGCTCAGTGACGTAAGCGCCTCTCTGGCCTGTGCAGGGTCCTGAGTTTGAAACTGATACCAAAAAAAAGGCAAGAAAAAGAAAAGAGAAACTGTAGAATCCTTCATTAATGTCTTTAAAGTAAGAGCAATAAAGCACCCTTGTTCACCCACGTGACGCAGCTTTATGAAAAACAAGCTGTATTTTCCAAATCATAGCCCCAAACGAGCCACAATGACACTGTTTTTGAAACAAATTTTGCAAACCTCTGGTGTGTGCCTACGCAGGCGACGGGATGCTCCCGCTTCTTTCTGTATTCCAGGCTTTGCGACGTGTCATTTTCTATAGCGTCTATGTAGAGAATCCAGCCCCACACAGGCGAGGACGTCCTTGCCACCAGGGTGCGGCCCACTGGCTGGGAGATGCTGCTTGGGGCAGCTGGTCCTTGTCCTCCCAGAGCCCTGCAGGAGCCTCCTGGCCGCCTGGCGAGGTGCAGCGCCAGCCCCGGAAGCTGGGAATAAGGGGCTTCTGTCACCAATAAATTTAAGTACAACATTAGAAGCAGAAATTAGTCTACTTTTCATTAATGTTAGCGATGGAAGCTCCTCAGTGAAAATATATTGTGGCCTCTAAAAGCCTTCTATGACTATATGGAGATACATATATATATATATATATATATATATATATTTCATAAGATCATATTTTTATCATTTATTCTTTAATAAATATGGTGTTCTGCCTCAATTTCAATTGAAAGAACCCCCAGTCATGCACTGGCCCAACGGGGGCAGACCAGCACTGCCTGCCCCCCAGGCATGAAGCTGCACCAGTCAGCACCCTTCGGGCTCACCTGGGCGAGCCTCAGGCCTCAGACCCTGCTACACCTAGGACCAGTCTCTGAGTTTAAACAGAAGACAGACACTTACAATAGAAAGTGGCAAAACAGTGCTTATAAAGACAAAAACACAAGCTGGGCCTAGGGATGCATACCTGTGACCCCAGCACTTGGGAGGCTGAGGCAGGAGGATTGTTGTGAGTTCGAGGCCACACTGAAACCCTGCCTCCAAAGAACAAATTAAAAAAAACAAGATCCTTCCTGTGGGTCAACATAGTGCATGAGGGAGACCAGTGAGGGTGGGGCGGGTAAGCCACCCACCTACCCACTGGTGCAGCAGGGCATAGAACACGGTGAGACCCACAGAGGGGAGCAGTGAGGCGGAGCTCACTGCCCCGTCAGATGCGCAGAGCACCCTAGGAGGAGCAGTATCTGGACCTTGAAGGACAGGCCTCCCTGGAAGGTCCGAAGCTTTCCTTACGCAGAAATAGACAAAGCACAGCTTCCCAAAATAGGCCACCTAGAAGAGCAGTGACAGCACCAACTCCAGCACCCTCTACCCAAGCCTCGTTTCCATACCTGCCAGTCAGACTCCAGAAGCTTTGGGGCCAGAAATGAAGGGGCTCTGAAATAACAGCCTCCCCACCGGCACTGCGGCACACGCCTTTAGATCAGAGACCGTAGACTCCTCTGTGCCAGGGACAGGGGGCAGGGTATCCCATGGCCTCCTATAGAGGCCTCATGTAAGGGGTTCTCAAAAGCAGCAGGGGCTGCTGTCGCTTGGCCACTAGTGGAGGGACCTGGGACCTTCGCAAAAGTTCAATAATGACTTTTCTTCTAGCTTTTAAACATAACATTGGATCCTAACTACGTCAAAAGTGTACACGTGGGGCTGGGGAGATGGCTCAGTAGAATAAGCGCTTCCCTGACAAGTGCAAGGACCTGAGTTCAATCCTCAGTTCCGAAAAAAAAAAAAAAAAAAAAAAGTGTCCATGTGCATTGCTGGAGATAGGCGTAGATTTAAAAATATATAAAAAGTTTCAAGCCCACCGAGGATAGGGAGTCTTTGAATGTTTCAAAAACTCCCTAGGATTCATTGCTCCAGAGGGAGGGAGCAGGGCACCTGGCTGACCACCCCGCAGGAAGGACCTCAGGGTGTGAGCCAGGTCCCTGGCTTCCTCTTCACTCCACAAGAACCCAGTCATCTCCAGACACCCTTGTCCTGCAGCCCTGCTAGGGCACTGCCCTGGATGGGACAGACACCTGGCACCAGCCTCCCTGGCACAGGGACTTGGGACTTGGGCTAGTTCTTTAATTCACCCCACGGGATAATCGGACAAGCTGGGAGGTTGCTTTCAGGAGCAGAGTAAGGTGGCTCCCGGTACCACCACAAGGAGGTGCAGTTGGGGCTGGGGCTGGGAGAAGCCTCTTGAGGGGACAGAGCAGCCCCTCTGCAGTAAGCTCTGTTTCCAGGCATGTGCATAGCTTTTCCTGCTCGGAAGCAGGAAGGGCAGTGGGTCCAAGGGATGCAAGAGGGGTCCCTTCCCCCCGCCCACCAGCCAGGGGCAGGACCAGGGCAGGGAGTCCCAGGTGGTCTGGAAACAGATCTTAGGGAAACATATCCCTACAGCAGGGTGTGGTGGTAATCCCACCTGTAATCCCAGCACTTGGGAGGCTGAGCCTGAGGCAGGAGAATCATTGCAAGTTCAAGGCCAGCCTGGGCTACAACGTGAGCTCAAGGCCAGCCTGAACTGCACATCAAGATTTTGTCTCAAAAATAAAACACATTCCTGACAGCACCGAGGAGTGTTTGTACACCCACATTCAATGAGCAAACGGGCACTGGGAAGATAGTTCAGTGGCATAAGCACCTGTCAAGGTCCTGAGTTCAATCCCTAGTACAAAAAAAAAAAAAAAAAAGCAATGTGCAAACGCAGTAGACGTGGCTGTGTGTGTCCTGTGTTACCACTGTGGGGGAAAGCTACGGAGGAAGCACCCTGGACGTGTGCCATCGGGAGCCGGGTTGCATGGTGGCAGCCCTATGTCTCAAGGGTTTCAGCCCTGTGCGCCTCCAGTGTATGCACGTCAGTGAGCCCGATGCTTTAAAAGCACATCGCTTCCAAATGTGACAGGAGGTG